CTGTCAGAATTTAATGGCGGCTTCAATTTTTATAACCAAAGCACGACTACCGTCAACAGCAACTTGCAACAGCAGCAGCAGCAGCGAGCAGGCATTCATCAGAGTCAAGTTCAAGTTTGAGGCAAAGAGATTATGTGCAGCCAATCTCTCTTGGGCAAGACTTGAAAATGCAAACGAGTCGCAAAACGCTGGTCGAAATGCAGATTTGAAAGGCACGATATGACGAGGGGCAGAGGGATGGGCGGCAGGGCAAACGGTTTGTCTGTGTGCAGCATGCAACAAGAGTTCCCACAGTTTCGCTGCTGCTGCGGTTGCTCTTTGGCAACGCCTTCAAAAGCTGATGACGTTGTAAGAGTCGAAGTCGCAGCAGCAGTTGCTGATGATGCCACAGCCTCCAAACTCCAACTCCAACTCCAACCAGCTCCAGCTCCAGCTTTCAGCTCATATGCATGCCAGAGTTTCAGCTCTTGGCTCCATCATCTTTTTTTTTTTTTGCAGCTCTCGTCCTCTCGTCTTATCTCACAAAATTTGATCAACGTTTTCGCAATTCGGGAGCTCCGCCCCGAAGGTATTTTCCATAAATATTCTTGGGCAACGTTTTTTGTTTTTGGCTTTTTAGCTTTTTACTTTTATTAGCCAGTTGCTGTTGTTGTTGTTGTTGCTGTTGCTACAAATAAATTAAAATTATGCATGCTTAGGCATGGGAACGGCTTTTTTTTTCTCTCTCTCTCTGCTTGGCTTTGGTCTCATGGGAAAGTCGCCTTCAAATAAATAAATTTAAGTTCGTTTCATTTTTACGTGTGGGTGTTGCAGCTAAACAGGCTGTAAAATGTGAAGTACTTCAGTTTACTTAACTCCAATAGTAACTAGCTGTTAATAAACACATACACATACATATATGTATATAGAGGGTGAGCATTGCATAAGAGCTGCAGATGTAAACCAATTTGTCAAAATCGAATTTAGGTTAAGAGACAAATATAATACTTTATAATTAAAATATAATTAAAATAATTAATTTTAGATAGCTAGACATCTATTTATGTTAATAAAATGTATATACCCAATTTAAAATTTAAAATTTAAAAATTAACTTTTTATTTTTTATTTTAATTTTATAATTAATTTTTTTTTTTTCATATTTTCAATTTAAAACTTATATGCAAAAGAAAATTAAAATAAATAAATCAAATAATACATATATTAATAAACATAATATTAATAATAATAATTTTGGACAGTTAAACATCTTTTTATATTAATAAAATTTTAATATAAACAAAAAAATTAAATGTTTTATTTTATATAATACTTAATTCTAACTTTCACTAAAAAATATCTATTTCTTATCTTAAAGCTAAATTGAATAAATTTATAGAAAATTTTCCTTAAATTAATAATCTTATGTCTTAGCATCATAATCATCATATTAATATCCGTATTATATATAATATCTTCATATAAGCTTACAAAAGTTTACTATAAAATATTTTTCCAAATACTTCATATACATACTTTCCTCGACAAAAAATGTAGTTTGATTGAACAATTGAACTGTGTGTAGCTGTTTGCCTTGACTGTAATATCCGTTACATTCATCTGAAGAATTCACAATGGACTTCAGGTAGCAGGCATATTATGCGTATCAGTCGAGCCGCTCAAATTGCTACTGCAGCTACTACGTAGAAATGACGTGAAACTCATCTTCATTTATCATTTTGAATAATAATCAAATCATAAAGGCGACGAATGAGGCAACGCGTCAAAGGCGACGGCGACGGCGACGGCTAAGGTAAAGGCGTCAGCTGCAGTCATTCAGGCTGTCAGGCGAACAGACAATCAGACAATAGATGGCCAAGAAAGGGGAGCTATCTGAGCTGAGCTGAAAAAAGTTTCGAACGCGCAGACTGCAATCAGTGCTGAATGAACCGAACTTTGGGTTGGGTTATTAAAAAAGAATTTGCATAAAAGGCACGAGCTCTCATTTTCTTCACCACAAGGATTAAGCCATAAATAACTGGGCGGGCTGCCGAGAGACAGACAAAGAGAGATATAGAGAGAGAAAGAGAGAAAGAGTGAAGCCAGTTCCTATGAAATTATATTCAAATTAGTTTGAAGTTTTGCCGTCCCATAATTATGACAAACACAAAGCACACTCGAGAGCACTTGAGATTATGCTAAATGCCAAATGGATGAGGTGTGCTTCCAGCCACAGATGTAGATGTAGACGAAGCCTCTCAGAGACGCTGAGCTCTCAGCTTCGTCTTTGAAGCTGGGTGCAGTGGCTGCCACAGCGGCGCTCATCAATTATCCACGTGCTTACAGCTCTAGCAATTTGTTAGATGTTGTCTATGGCTTTGGCTTTTGAGAGAGTGTGAGAGAAAGACAGGGAGAGAGTGAGGAGGTGGGCACTTTTGACACCTTTTGCATGCCACAGTCAGGGGCTTTACAGAGGCTGGGCCACAGCCAACACCTCTTGACGTGATTATAACAGTTTTACGGTTAGTTATTAATGATTCGCTATTCAATAGACACAATGAAGCAATTCCCTCAAACTCTTTGACTCGGCGGCGAACATGATAATTAGCATGCGCCTCACAATTACTCTATCCAACTCAGCCCAACTGAAAGGATTGGGATGTGGAAATTTCGACCAAATTATCTCAGATTCTTTATGGAGAAAGTGCAAAAGGCTTCAATTAATTGTTGAAATATAATAATCCAAGAAATTAGTGTAGATCTTCTTTGTGAAGTCTTGCTGAGTCTGTTTTTGACCATTGCAGAGAATGGCGAATTGGATGAAGATGAAAATGAGATGGAATATGTATAGTAGTAGTATGACAGTAAGACATAGATAGAAAGATAGAGAATAGTTTGAGTCATATACTAAAGAGAGAGGAAGAAAAAGACAGAGATCGAGATTGAGAGATAGATATAGAAAGAGAGAGAGAAAGAGAGAGAGAGAAAAACGTAGAGCGATAGAAAGAGAGAACTATGGATAAAGGAAGAGGGATAGGAATGGGAAACATAGAAATAAACGGAGAATGAAATATATGCATGAGAGAGGGAGAGAGAGAAAGAGAGGAGACACGAAAAGAGATAGGGAAAGAGATAGAAAATAGAGTTGAGAAAACCTTGAATTTAATTTGATACATATATAAATATTTTAAAAATGAATAAAATAAAATAATTAAATGTAACTAAATGCCAATGCCAAATCCAAATTAAATTAATATAAAATAAGAAATCTTTTCCTAGAAATTGCCCCAACTAACTTAATTACTGAATGAGTTTTAATTGATGCTCACAAAAGTCAGCGAGCATTGCAAATAGTTTTTAGCCTTTGGGCTACAATTAAATTTACATAACGATACGAATTTTATCGCTCTATATCTAAATATATGTGTATCTATATATCGTTGTACATGCGATATTTATTTAAATGATATCATTTCCTGAGCTCGTTTCCGAAACACCTCGCGGCATGTTGTGCTATGTAAATTTAGGTGTGTGTACAAGTGTGTGTGTGTGTGTGTATGTGTGCTTGTGTGTGTTGTCCGTCAACAATCAAGTCATTTATCAAAGGCAGAGCCAAATATTCAAAACATGGGCATTATGCATGCCATGCCATGCCATGTCAGCATGGAGCTGCTCTCTTTGCTTTTGTGAGCTTGGCCTAAACCAACAGAAATATAGAAATAAAAGAAGAAAATATTGCGTGCAGACATCGGCTAATAATTTTCATGAAGAAATTCAGGGGCAAACGCTGTGAGTGAATGGAAGATGAGGAAACAGAAGTCGAGCAGACGATTGGAAGCGTTGGCGACCAACACTCAAATCATGAAATGATAATAATGATGTTTCATTCAGTCAGCCAGCCAGACGATGATGGGGGAGGAGTAGACGGAAGTGCAACAGCAACAGCAACAGCAACGGCAACGGCAACAATAACAACAACAGCAGGAGGAGCAACAGCAGCAGCAGTAGTAACCTGCTCGCTGATGAACCTAATGATACGTATGAAAATGAGTTAAAGGCGCAGATGACACGACACAGTTAAGGCGAGAGAGGGATATCTCTGTGTGTGTCTCTCTCTCTCTCTCTCTCTTTCCCTATTTCATTTATGAATGAACCTTAAAGGGCGCATTATAAATCAAAAGACACACACGTCGTTGTCTGGCCGTTGCTCAGTGCTCGCTGTTCGAAACAGGAGCGTGACCAGACAGGAAATGGAAATGAGCGCACAATAAGCCGCCAAAAAAAGAGCAGAGATATAAGCAAGAGCAGTGACTGGCTATTATTTAAGAGAACATACATATGTCTATACATGTAATTATATATATAGAATGAAATCATCTAAATGCCTTTATAAATTGCATATCTAGAATCCCAATAATTTTAGAAGTCTTCAAGATTATATAATTTTGTCAAATTCATTCCATTTCCATGATAATTTGAAGCTTCGTAAAATGCATTTTTATGATAAAAAATCATAAATTATATTATAAAAAATACATGAATAAAATTGTAATAAAATAAAAGTTGAAATTAAATGTTTTAAAATTGATGTAATGATAAAATTAAAAAATATAATAAATGTTGATAAACTTGTCCACTCTCGAAAACTAAACGCATGCAATTTTTTTCTTTACTAAGTTAGATACTTTAATTTGCATATGAAAAATAAGATTAAAAGGATTTCAGATTAAATTCTCATTTTAAACGGATTCAATATTTTGGTTGCGGCTTTATGTTTATGTCTTTAATTTAATGTATTTAATAATATTTTTTTTTACTTTTTTCATTTAATACATTATACAAATTTTAAAATTTTTGTTGAATTTGTTGTCAATTAATAAATTGTAATTTAGTTTTTTTTAAGCATATCAAACGAGCCTGGTGGCATGCAGATATTAAATAAATTCATATGTAGATATGCAGATACATATATACATATATCTATGTATGTCTGCATGTTGGAAATCAACTTCAAGACTTACCGCCTGCATTTTGCATGTTGTTGTCGTCGCCGACATCTTCGTCATTTGCTTCGCTTGTTGCTGGCGCCGGTGATGTTGCTGCCGATGCAGGCAGCGATGTTGCTGCTGCTGCTGCAGCCTTTGTGTGCACTGTTGTTGTTGCTGTCGCCTCGGGCGCAGCATCATTTTGTTGTAATGCAACTAATGAGGCGGCAAAATTGACGTGTTGCTGCCGCGTGAAGTCGAACACCGATGCAGCATCTGCATTGCCAGTTGCTGTTGCTGTCGCAGTTGGTGTTGGTGTTGGCGATTGAGTTGTTGGCTCGCTTTTAATTGCCGTTGTTGTGGTGGCTGCTGTGGGGCAACGCTGCTGCCAATACTCAGCGGTTATCAAATGCTGCAGACTGTGCGTAGGCAAATGCTGGCCAAACAGATTGCTCAGATGTTGCAGCGGTGTGCTGTTGGCAACATGTTGCTGCAACAGCTGCTGCTGCAGCAGCAAGTGCTGCTGATGCTGTTGATGCTGCTGCTGCTGCTGTTGTTGCTGCTGCTGCTGCTGATGATGATGATGATGGTGATGGTAGAGCAGCGTGGCTGCTGCAATGCCATCGCTCGCATCGCTGTTCAATTTGTATTTGGTTGTTGTTGTTGGCGTTGACATTGTTAGTGCTTCCGCTTTGGCCAGCTGTCGAATGCTGCTGCTGCTGCCGCTGCTATTGTGATCGCTGCTGCCGCTGCTGCTGCTGCTGCTGCTTTGATTTGTGTTGCAAGCGTTTTTGTATTCTAGTAACATGCCGTTAATGCTGGCAGCCCTAGCAACTGTCTGTTGTCGATGTTGCTGCTGTTGCTGGCGAAGTTGCTGCTGCTGTTGCTGTTGATAGTAGTTTGCTAGCAACAATGGCATAATCAATGTTTACAGCTAACTGTGACAGCAGCAGCATGGACAACATATACATAGATACCAACACGTTTTACCCGGTCTTAAGGTCTTAAGGGTTTGCCCTTTTATGAATTCAAAAGTTCTTCAGCGTCTGCAATTAGTCAAACAAAAAATTTAATTAGGTTTTTTTTTTTTTTTTTTGATTTGTCACAGTTTATGGATATTCTTAGCGACTCGAGCGAGGCAATTACAAAATTCAAATACTTCCAAGTTTTTAAGCTTATTTGCAGCTTAAGCGAATTTTGGGCTCTGTAAAAGTAAACATAAAATGGCTGAGCGCAGAACTGTTTGACTAAAATATACCCTATCTGCAGATTAGAAGTACACCGCGAGGCGATTGATAGACTAGAATATGCTTTATTTACTGATTAGATATTTCAAATTGATTTTTATTGATGGGCTAAATTATAATCTTATGGAAGTATTTGTAATACTCATGAGTTATTACAACATATTACTTTAACATTTTAGCGTATAATTACAAGTTTTATTCATTATACCCCTTCAACACACCTATAAGGTATTCCAAAATAAATCACAAATAATCGTAGTGAAAAAAAAAAAAAATAGTGAATCAACACTTTCATGCAAACTCATTGTAACACACTAAATTTTGATGGACATGTGAACCAGCCGCGGCCATTTGGTCAAGCAGTTTCCAGTTAATCATCTCGGCTAAGTTTTTGTCATTTTAATTAGTTCAATTTCGGTGTGTATTCGGCCTAAGCATAAGTCGCAGCTCGCGACTCATTTCATATTTTCTCCTGACGAAGAAGAAGAAGAAGCAGATGAACTACATGACTTTGCGCCAAATTATAATCAGAAAATGCGCAATCATCGCATTTCTCCATCTCTCTCTCTCTCTCTTCCTTACTATTGGGAAGAGGAAGCATTGGGATGGGCTGGTCTAGAGGCAGAGGCTGTCGACAGCGCGATTTGAAGGTAGCCGTGAAGTAAGGCAATTGAACTGAATATACATAATCGCTAGAAGAGTCAAAAAATGTACCGAGTGCTGAGCAATAACAATAGCAAGCAAAGAATTGAGGAAAAAATACACTGTGAGAAAATATTGATAGACTTGATTTAATTCAGTAGTAACTCAGTGAAGTTAATGACTCTCTGTCTCCCCCTCTTTCTCACTCTCTCTATACTCCAGCAAAATATTCGAATGATATGGCAACACTTTTCTTAACTTGACCAAAAATTTAGTGTTTAGCTTAAGCCTAACTAAAAATTCCCATTGAATCTTACATTTACGCTAACCTGCTCATAAATTTCTTGCAGTGTCTCAATTGATATGGCAGCTACATACAATGGTCGTGGCATTAAATGGCTCGACTCGACGCCGCGACACGGCACATAGAGCGACCGGCATTATAATTACAAGTCATCTACCTTATGTTTTTGACCATTTAAGCTACAAAACACGAACAAAAACCCGTCAAACAGTAGCCGAAAGAGAGAGAGAGAGAGAGAGAGAGAGAGACAGAGAGAAAGAGACAGCAAGGGGTGGAGAGTGTAATCATATAAAAATAAATAATAATCACACAATAAATACGCCTGGTCCCAGCCCTGATGGCAACAAATTTCCATTCTTGTATCGACATTAACGCGCATAATTGTTAATACCATTTAAATAAGCGTAAAACTCTGTGCCCCAAGTCATGTTCCACGATTCGAACTGCGAACGGGCAACACTTTAGCAGGAAGGAAGAGCTCTACAGATAGCCCTCTTTTTACCTTATGCTGAACATGACTTGGCCCATTTCTATTTTAGATTCTCTTTCTCGATTTAACTAGTTTAGATCCAACTATAAGAGTATTATTATATATTTTTTTCGGGCCAAGCGAAATGGGAACGAACTGTTGATAGAGTTTACAGTTTAATCAGTGGAAATATATAAAGAAATTATATTAATGAAGTTAAGCTAACAAAATGTAGTCGAACTTATACGAATCATGATTCAGCTCTTGCAATAGAATTCTGTTTATGAATGAAAGCGTTTTATAAAGGAAAAAGTAAGGGGACGTTCCATAAACACAGTTGATGGAAGGTCTGAAAGTCAACAAACTTTACCGTATGCTAATAACATTATGCTTGATAGAATTACGCTGATTTGCTTTAGCTTTAGCCAAATTCACATTAACATAAAATAATTCAAAGTTATTTAGATATTTTCAGAGAGAAGAAAGTCGATTGTTGTCAGTCTAACGCAAATTACCTCAAGGTAACCCAAGTTTAACTGAAAAATGTTATTGAAACATTTTTTTTTTAAAGCATTACCTATTTTTTTGACAATTTAAAGTCACCGCAACACCAAAGCAAAACCTGTTTAGTAAAGGAGATAAGGCGTAATCAACAATTATATAAAAACTATCTAATAATCGTTATCAAGCAGACTTCTGTTAATATGAACACCTGCCCTAGGGTAAGCTCAAGTACTTAAGATTTCATTTTTAAATTATTTCAAGAATACTGTTGCAGCATCGTAGGAAATAAGTAATGATTAATGAGTAATGAGTAATGAGTAATGAGTAATGAGTAATGAGTAATGAGTAATGAGTAATGAGTAATGAGTAATGAGTAATGAGTAATGAGTAATGAGTAATGAGTAATGAGTAATGAGTAATGAGTAATGAGTAATGAGTAATGAGTAATGAGTAATGAGTAATGAGTAATGAGTAATGAGTAATGAGTAATGAGTAATGAGTAATGAGTAATGAGTAATGAGTAATGAGTAATGAGTAATGAGTAATGAGTAATGAGTAATGAGTAATGAGTAATGAGTAATGAGTAATGAGTAATGAGTAATGAGTAATGAGTAATGAGTAATGAGTAATGAGTAATGAGTAATGAGTAATGAATAATAAGTAAGGAATAATGAGTAATCATGAATGAGTAATAAGTAATCAATAATGAGTAATGCGTAATGAATAGTAATGAAGCCATTATATTAACTATATGTACATATATTTATAGGAAAAATAAAATAATTTTAACGTATATACTTAAGTGAGTTTTCAATAATATTGTAATGAAATTGCATTAACAGCCAATGATTATTCAATTATGTAAAGCTGCTTCGTTTTAAATTGGTATACAACTATCATGGATATTTGAAATATTTGAAAGCTACAGCAATTTTGGAATTGAGCCCGTTTTGATTATAGGTATAATATGGTCTATAAAACGAAGCCAAGCCAATTACCAATTACTAATGATAATTGGCGCATGCTGTTGGCTACTGTATCTATGACTTGCATTTGCCTTGAGAATTTACCATAAATTTATAGCGTAAATTGTATGGCACACACGCACACAGACATAGAGGTACAAACACGTGTGCCCATAGTTGTATGTAAATATTGATAAGATGCATGGACAGGTATACAAATGGTAAAGTGTAAAGAGCAATGAAACGAGTGGAGCGAGTGGAGCGAGACTGAGCAGCATGACGACAGCCTTCAACAAATATCGAGAGGGTCTTAAAGAGTTCAGGGCAAGTAAATATATATGATATATGTATATATATATAGGTACATATTCATATAATTTTACTTGTTATTTTTGGCCAGGGTAATCTATTTAGTTGGTAGACTTTATCGCCATTGACAATAAATAGAAATACGTGCATGCTATAAACCTCTTGATATTTCTATATTTTTAGCACTGCGACTTAAAATGCTAATTGAATTTTAGCTTAAAATTCCACATATATTCAATATTAATTATTTTTAATGCATAGTCAAACAAGAAAATTTCGCGACATTGGCAGCTCTAGCGCCCAATCGATTTATGTCACAGTAACGAAAATCTCACTCGGGCTATGAATAATGGGACAGCGCCCCCTTTACAATATTTGGGCGCCCCATTCGTTAAGTTTGCTGGCTTAAGGCGACTTAACATCCACACAATGAGGCATGAAGCAATTGTGACTTATGCACTAAGACAAATTAACCCATTTACAGTGCGCACAGCTTAAGAGCTACTTAATTGACAAATTCACGATTGCCTGAGCAAATGCAAAAATATTAAAATTGTCTCATTAACAATTTGTCGATATGCATAAATCATTATTCAAATTAATGCCGGCAAAGCTTTAATATATTACTTTATTTCAGTAATACTGAATTCTATAGCAAAAATTGGTATGCCTATTTAATAGTAACTATTGTTTATTATTTTATTTTTTTCATTTTATACGGACAAACGGTTTTAGTCCGGAAAAGCAATATAAAGATGTTTTTAATCTTTATATTTCTCTTCCTCAATTCATTAAATTGAATTATGTTTCATTCAACTCTGATAGAACTTTCTCTCTCTCTCTCTCTCTCTCTCTCTCTCACTCAATCTCTTTCTCCTTCCTTTTGATTGATTTATATAATTTGTTTTGGTCGCTGCCTTAGCTTTCAACTCATTGCTTCTAACACCTGTATTACGTTTTACAATCATAATCTTTATCATCAGAATCAACATCAACCGCGACATCGACAACATCATCACAATAATAATTATTGATTGACTCATTTCCATGCGATATCGCGCCCTGGTCTCATGATAACACAGACCCACTCAAACGGTCACACAAGTCTGTTCAGATTTGACTGTACAGCTAATTGACTAATGAATGGCACTCATTGTGTGTTTATTTTCTTTCCTTCGCCCATTGGCAATTTGTGACAGTTTTCTAATTGTTACAACTAAAAAAAAAAAAAAATTATGGTCTTGCTGTTCTTAGAAAACACCTTAAGCAATAAAATATAATCACGTGGTCACACAGCCACTTATCATATATTCATACATACACATAGGGTATAAGCCATACTCGTGAGTCTTACTGAATGGACACTAAAAAGGGAAACCACACGAAATACAAAAAAAAGTGTTACAAAGTTCAACTTGCTTATGAAATTCTTATTGCAATTACGATTTCGATTTTGGTTGGCTTATGGGTCAATATTTAAATAGAATTTGGCTAAGGTCTTTCAACTGGACTTTAAAATCTGATAATATAATTTAGAAATATATTTTATATCATCAAAATGCAGGCAATGGACTTTTTTTATTTTTTTGAGATAACATATTATGAATTGTTTTTAAGGGTTCATTGAATATGAGATCATACTTTTAAATAAAGAGTTTATTCTGAATATATATATTATTTTCATACATTTTTTTTAAATTAAATTTTGTTTAAAAAAATTATTTTTGTATTAACTCTTTTTTGTTTACAGGTGAATGTATCTCTGGCTTTGGCAGGAGATTTTATTTTGTAACTGAGCTAAGAGCTTTGATTTTATCAACTCTATATTATATGTAATTCATATTCTCAGTAATCATCTTTGTTGGAGTGGGCGCTGATCCTAACCTTGCCCAAAAAACCCACCAAATATTTGTTTCAACAAGCTTCGAGTTGGCGCGCTCTAGTAATACTCTATAATCAATGTGATTTCAACGATATTCGCACTTTGATCAGAACAATATCAGCATCAGCTGATGTGCTTCTATATGTATATCAGTTTTTACTCACCTCGCCTATTGAGAATTCCAAGAAATCGATTTTCTGAAGTGCGCAACAAGAAATCAGGTGAATTTAATAAATTCTAATCAGCAAGAGAGAGAGCGAGACGTGAGTTAGAGCAGAAGAAAAGGTTTTGTTGCTTCCGATCGTAAAAATAAAATACAAATTGATTAGAAGCGTGTATTACCCGACACGAGTATTAAAAACTTTTCTTTATCTTGACCGGGAAATCTATATGTGTGCCTGCATTTGTCATTATATACATATAAATATGGATGACGAAATTGCTCGCTGACAAATCAACAAAATTTGTATAAATAAAACGTATTTGAATCATATTCAAATTACAAGGAATAGACACACTTTGAATGTGCACCGAGCGATAAGATTGTGCATTGAGCGTCGCGACGAGTCTATATCAATGTCTGTTAACAGTTGGCAAATCAACTAAAATTTACCTAAACGAAATATTTATAAATATCATGGTATTGCGGTATCTGAATATACAATAGAACTGAAATCAACTTTATCTATTTGGTAAAACTGCACGTCAAAGTTATTAAAAACTAATGCAGGAAACATAATAATAATTATAATAATAATAATACGCAATAAAAATTTACATTTTTTTTTTTTTTTCATATATACATATATATATTTTTAAAGCTCTTATCATAACAGTCATTTCATTTGTGTATAATTAGAAGAACAGCCCATGTTTTAGTTATACAATAATTTAGCGTTAGCAGTTTTATTTATTTATTATTATTATTAATACTTTTTTTTTGCAAAAAAAATTATAACAAAAGGTTTTTTAAAATTTCTTAAGTATTATACCATTCTATAGATTTAAGGAGCCGAAAAATTTCTTTGAAGAAGTTTGATTGAAAAAAGTTCATGTAGAGAAAATTCTGATTGATATTAAATTTACCATATTTTATATATCATTTCATTCATTCTAAATTCTAAATTCCAATTTTAATTCTTATCAGAAGGAAAATCTGAAATCTCAATTATTTATATATAAATTTTTTTTATGAACTCATGAATTTTTTCTACAATATTCTTCTAAATATAACTATAATTTTATTTATTTTTTCTATTTTAAACCGATTGACACTGGCAAATGAAGATAACGATTTTTCCTGTTTAATAAATTGGAAATAAAACGTTTATGAAGATAACAAGATATAAATCAATATTCTCAATTTAAAGTAATTTGAACATTTGCAGGGCATAGCTAAGCCGTCATGGCCTATCTCAATTTGATTCGCGTTCAATTGATTATTTTGTTTTTCAAGTGTCAATTGGTTTTTCTTTGTTGTTTCCTTGGGTTTTTTTTTTAACGTCAACGATGATATGCAAAGTGTTTGTGTTAACTCGATTGGGTTTTTTTTTTCTATATGGTAAGGCAAGGTATTATCTGGTACACCTACAGCTCCAGCTCGGTGTTGGTCTTATCAGCTCGTGGCAAACAAATTGAACTCATTTTCTTTAAACAGCTTCGACGCAATTGTCAGCAACTAGCTATAGATACAGCTAGCTGCTACAGCTACAGCTACAGCTCTATTTATAGATACAGATACATAAATATTCCAATAAGTCTCAACTTGTCGCTGTGTTTGGCTCTCTTGTCGCCAGTTGCTAATCAGTTCATGTCGAATATGGTAAATGGGCAGGAAAGAAAGCAAGTAAAGATAGGAAGGCAGAGAGAGGGCGAACGGGAATGAGAGGTGTGCGTGCAACGTGTGGCATACATATAAAGCGCGGCACCATTTTTATCTAATTAGGCTAAGCAGCAGGCAAAGAAAAAGAAGCGTTGCGACTGCGACAAATATTTATTATTGTGCAAACAAACAGCGAGCGCAGTAAAATAATCAATCACTCGATCGTTACAGCAAATGGACGTGGTATCTGCAACACAATATCTCTCTCTTTTCTCTCTCTCTCTCTCTCTCTCTCTCTCTCGCAGCAGCAGCTAGCAAATGTATATATGTATGCTTCTATATATGCAATGCGGTTAACGGCATTTGAATAAGGTAAGGAAATGTCAACTGGCCATAGATACAGCTACAACAATCTATAGATACAGATACTTGTATCTTGTGGCTTGCACTCATTCAACGTATCTGTATCTTCTGTGTCGAGCCGCACAAGTGTTATGCTAATAAAAACAAATCGAAGCAGGCTTATCAGTCAATATATATCAGTATATGTATACATATATGTATACACTGATGTATATATGTATGCATATAGATATTTATGCCATATTTACATTTACAGACGACAATATTTAAAGTGTAAATCGATCGATTTTTTCTTCTTCCTTCTTCTTTTTTTGAGTGACTTTTGTTTATTGTATTTATTTCAATTTCAATATTATTTATCAGTGGTGCACTGTGGTGCTTGCTTATTGGTGCCACATTGCGAAAGCCACTTCAACATTTGCGTCAACTAGTGTAAACTTTGCCTGTTTACACAAGACTTATTGCATGCCCTGTTCTGTTCTGTTCTGTTCTGTTCCCCCGACCACAGTGACAAGTGTTTGGCATCTGAAACAAACTCGATAGTTGAAGATTGGCTTGATAAACAATTTGGCACTTGGCATATGGCCATTTTAATGTTTCACTCTGTAACGCATACCCCTTAATAAATACCAATTGCAAATTTCTTGCTAAATTCCATTCGAATGGAATTTGTTTATGCTGGCGATGCTGCGATGCGATATGCCTGCCATAAACGTTGCTTATCAGGGCGAGCTACACATGTTTAACTCAGATTCAGATATCAAATGATTTTATTTTATTATTATATTTGATTACATGTGGATATTTGGGGAATTTGAGTTAAGTATTTCTGAATATAATATAGAGATATTTCGAGTGTCTTCTATAGATTTTCATTCGAGTCGAGTTTGCTGAACTGTTTGGAGATTGCTTATACATGATATATTTTTATATTCAATATATACCAGATATCAGATGTAACAGGCATAAAATATAATTTTAAGAAGATTCACAACTTCAAGCTGAACTAGTAATTCTTATTAATTTTATATCATTTACTTATAATTCAAAGATCTTAAAGCATATATATAAATAATAAGTACCGATGTAAAATCTCAACACTTTATAAGGCGAGGTTATCAGCGATTATATATATTTTGTAAATATATATTTATTTGTTTAAATATTGTCTTTGATATTATTGATATTAATACATGTTTTATTTGTATTATAATAATACTTATTTAAATGAGTATTATATTTGTTAGAATTAAATATTTTATTCAATTTTTTTCAGTAAGTATGTATGTATGTATATAATAATACTTGATTTAAAGAAACTGCTTTCATTATCTCTTAAATCAAATTATGTCAATATGAACTTATAAGCTTTCGAGCTTCAGGTAAAATTGAGAATTCCAATTATTATTATTACTATATTATTATTATATCAAGCGTCTCAAGCAACTCCAAATTACCTCAAGCTCTCAAATCCTGCGCATTAAATTAACTTTATCATATAAAATTCACAGATAAACGCACAAAACATATTTTCACAATAATTTCGTTATTCTTCAAGTACTTAAAATATTGAGCACATAAACAGTTCAAATACATATATATGCATATATTTGTGTATATATATCGTAACGAAATATATCGGGTCGAATTTGAAACGCGTTCACGAAGGCGCGCAAAAGCCGTCGCTGATGGGCAAAAGTGCAAAGCCAAACACAGCGCAGCGCAAAACTGAAACTGAAATTGAAACTGAAACAGGGCGAAGCTGAAGCTACCTCAACGCACACAACAACAGAAACACGCGACTTGTGTGTAGGGGCCGGACGGTGCGAGGGGCGGGGCTGGCGAGTCAAGTTGCTAAAACAAAAATATATAACGTAACGTAACGCGCGCGCGCACTTGAGTTGCAAACACTGAAAAGCCAACTGAATTGAAAATGTATCTTCAAGATGCGCAGATCAAAAAGCGCAGCTCGATTGTGGCCAGTGTGTGGGCCAAAAGGCGAGGCGAAGTGCGGCAACAAGTTTCGCGATACAAAAGCAAATAAACAAACGGCGGCAAATGCAGCGGGCGACACAGCAACAACAACAACAATAGCAACAACATCAGCGGCAGTGCGAATGTGTATCTCTATCTGCATCTGTATCTGCACATATACACGCACACACACACATGTTCAGTCGCTGGAGCATGCAACACGCGAGCAATTGCAACCTGTTCGCCAGGCAGAGAGAGCGAGCGTACAACGAGAGCATTCACGCTCTCTTCGCCAAAAACCATGCTCACACACACTAACGCACGACATATACGATCGAGCGTGCTCTCTTAGGTTCCACAAAAGCTGCACAAGTGTGCGTTGTTCGTTCGCGTGCGAGCGAGATGGCAGTTAACCGCCGCCCGCGCGCTTCTACTACACAAACTTCTCAAACACACACACACGCACACTAGCGCATTATTCAAATGAGTTATAGGCATGTCTCGCTTGCTCTAGTGCTCTCGCGCAGCTTTTGTTTCGCTTTATTTAAATTTATGATTAGCGCTGTTTGTATGCGCATGTGTGCGTGAGTGTGTGTCTGTGTGTGCATGCTTTAATCCAATTGGAGGTGGAGCAGCCGCTTAGCATGCTGCGGCACTCTTCTAGCCCACGTACGCTTATTGTCTTCTGTGGTGGCCTCTACGTACGTGCTGCTACTTGTAGATAGATTCGTATTTATCTACGCCTGCACAGACAAAAAACGCTAACTGTCACAGCGTGTGATTATTTTGGATGTGTTATCCAATTGGATTTGTGTTAACTGTAAACTGGTTTTTGCCTAGGGGCAGAGTTTAACTAATACGATTCCCATGCACTTCTAGTATGAATAAACATTTTTATGATTCTTTTCAATCGATTTATAGAAATTTAATTTTTTTTTCAGCTAAAATCTGTATGATATAACGGTAGGAAACTAATATTTATTTTGTGAAAATATTATAAATAATAAAAATAAAATCATAAATAATAAACGTAATATATTCAAATCAATGTAAATATAGCTTTGAATTTCTTACCAAAATAAATGTTGTGTGTGTGTGTTTTTTTTTTTTATAATATGAAATATATTTAATTATATTATATCAACACATATAATTTATATGTATATTAATATTTCAATAATTTTATAAGCTACATGAATAATATATGTATATATTTTTATTAATACATTTTGAAATATTTTATAATTTTTTTATTTATTTATTTATTTATTTATTTTTTTTTCAATAATGGTATATAAGTTAAACATAAAATTATAAAAATTATATGAATTTCAACATTCTTAGCCACTTTATTTATGCCAACGCTTCAAAACTTTCTTGACTATGGGATATATTATTCATTGTTATCTTTAATAATGAATTGTTAAGCACTCACTCTATAGCATTTATAGTCTTGCCAAGCTGGGTAATGCCCCAACTCAGTTTGTACCTTGATCTAAAGCTTAACAACTGCTGGCCAAATGCCGAATGCCATTCTTAAGCTGTTGATCCACTTGTATCTTGTATCTTTCAGCTGCACACAAATTAATCAACAATTAATCAAGCAAATAATTCAGCTTCGCATAGCTGTCCACATCAGCAGTCGATTCTGTTTGGCACACACACAAAACAATGCCTTTGTATCTTTGACTGCTTGGCCACTTGGCTGCCTGCTTGGCTGCCTGGCTGCCTGGCTGCCTGGCTGCCTGTATCTGTATCTGTACGCACGATCTGCTGTTGGATTTGGCGCTTTGATTTTATCCGCTGACACAATTCCGCCAGCAATTAAATAAACTCAATAAACTGAATGCCTCAACTTTTGACTCTGCTGCTTGGAAGCTTAAGGAAGCTGTCAACCAGCCGAAGTAGCAGCAGCAGCAGCAGCAGCAGCAGCAGCAAGAGTAGCAGCGCGCGCTGCGTGCATAATAATAATGTGGCCAACAATTGTTTACCATATGCAGCGATCGACTGCATACCGAGCTGTCCAATTGGTCTTATTAGCCTGTCGTTTGCATTTTGCGGTATTTGTTTTTGCTCTTTTACTTTGTGCCACCGACGACGACGCAACGTTCCCCAGTTCAATTTGAATGCGGCTACCGAAAAAAAAAAAAAAAAAAAAAAAAAAAAGATACAAATAAATTCCAGACATTTTAAACTTGGCCATTCAAATGCTGGCGACTTCGTTGTCAGCATTTTTTTCATTTCTCTGCCGTTCTCTACGCTGGCGCATTCTATTTGGCTCAGCTCGCAGGGATCAGCTGGAGATTCTTTAATAATTAAGTTAAATTACAACTATTTCGTTTCGATTTGTTTTAAAATTTTTGCATAGCTAAGTTGTAAGTGAAGTTAAGAGATAAAGAGAGAGGAAGAGGGACAGAGACTATATATAAATTAAAGATAAATTAAAGATTTCTTTCCTAGAGTATAACGCATTATAAAAGTTAAGAATCGTTGGAGCCCCACGTCATAGCTAGGACGGACATCATTTTTCATTTGCTTGCATTGCTGCGATGCCCTGGCTAATGTTTTCAGTAGCTTTGGCCCTTCAGCATTTCATTTCAACACTCGTTGGCGCTCGTCTAGCATAAAATTGCAAACACATTATTGACACATCATTATCAATCAAAGTGCTCTCTGGCTCTGTGCGCTGGCCTAGAGGGGGAAAATGCTTCCGCAAGTGGAAAGACGCGAGACAAGACTCGACGCGTCTCGAATCGAGTACCGCTAGCTTGTCGTGGGCTTAGCTCTTGGTTTATGGCCATGATTTATGGCAGAATTCTTCATAGGCGGCCGTTCTGGTTGGCCAAGGCCCAGTGCAGCATGAACGTTAGCAGCAGAGAGAAGCTTCAAAGAGACAGAACGAGTGAAACAGCATGAGCGGGAGAGAGAGAGAGAGGGAGAGGTATGCAACCAAGACAACACACGCACATCATACACAGATACATTTCAGTTGCAGATACAGATACATATATAGAAATCTACTTTATGGCTATAACCGCAGCTAAGATTTGTTTAACATAAACTGCCTGATTTGTTGATGGCCATTTACATGCCACTGCTCATTCCCAAGAGTGGAACTTCGAATTACGCAGCTCTTCATTCATGTTTATTAATTAGCAATATGCATTGCAGTTTTATTGCTTGCGAAATCCAAATGGAAACGTACATTCAAAAGCCATTAGAAAAATATATTAAAAAGAGAAAAGCTCTCGACTTTAACGGTCAGCCAACTATCTGATGTGTGAACAAACCTGGCATTAGAAGATGCTTAAATTAAGATTATTTTTTAAAATCGTATCTGCACTGATAATACTTACTTATTCGAGAGAGACACAGAGAGAGAGAGAGAGAGAGAGAAAGAGAGACAGTGAGAGAAAGAGATATTCAAGTGTAGCAAACCATAAAAGTAATCCACATATTACAAAGCTCTATTTGTACTTACCTATTTTTTTTTTTTTTTTTCGAAAGTAAATTTTTAATTGGCTTTAATTTATTAATGAATTTAGGCTTTCATCAATACTTCAATTCAGTTTAATTTCATTCATGACTAAATTAATACATATATATTTATAAATATTTCTGTCTAACTAACTCTAAAATGCTTTAATTATATTTAATTTCCATCCATCTATAAAATATTTTATTTATTCTTCATTAAATCTCATTCAATTTTAATCTTTATACAATTTTAATAAATCACTTAATGTATTTATCAAATATATATTTATAAATATGTTTTTCCAATATATATAAGCTATTTATATATATAATATATAAAAACAATATATATATTATCGACCAAATATCTATTCATAAATATTCTCATTTATCTGTATACAATATCCTGACTATGTAGCAAATATAAATACATTAACTTGTCAAGTGATTATCTTTTCAATGATTCAAGGCAGCTATCTATCTATCCTTTAATCCCCAATATAATCATAATCATAAAAATATCTTTAGCTATCCATCTACATATTTACCCAACGCTATATACAGCTACCAATCTGTCCCTATATATCATTCTACAGATACAGAACAATCAGACTTGAGTCCGCCCCATCAACTGCCTTGATAAATAATGATATAACTCCTTTAAACACCTGATTATTCATATCAGCAACATTCCCATTGCTTTTCGCTCAGATAACAAAGTTTGCACTTTTCACACTTGCCACACGCAATGAGGGAGTGCCATTTGGCAAAGTTGCCAGACTGCATTAATCTTGTACGCACTTTAGGCCATGCTAAGGCTAAGCCATGTTAAGAGTTGCTGCGCCTAAGTCGCGACTGAATTTTGCATTTTAATTGAATTCGAATTGAAATTCAAATGAACGCATATTAAAGTCTATACGAAGCGGGGCAAGCTACTAGTTACCTGTTACCTGTTGTTAGTTACCTGTTACCTGTTACCAATTACCCGCCACGTTTAATGAGCGAACGGCCCGAAGGCGACGCTTGTCAAATTGCCCGATTATGCAAAGGCCCAGACATACGGCTGAAAAGTAAGCTAAATAATTTTAATTGTCGCAATGCAAGACGCACTAAAACGGCATTGACGAACGCCTAATACCCTGTAAAGATTGAAGAGAAGGAAGTAGAAGAGAAATATAAAAAAATAGAAATATATAAAAACTATCAATTAATTATTAGCTTGGCTAAAATTTTGATTAGGTGAATCGGACTTATATAAAATTTTAGGCCGAATGATTGACTGATTGAGAGAGAACAACAGACATAATGCTTTAAAAGTATATTGAAAATACCGAAACTTCGGGCAATTGGCTATAATTAATGATAATAATTGATTACCTGACTGAGTGATTGACAAAGTATAGTCTAAGTTATTAGATCTAG